ACCCCACTTCTTTACTAATTCGTCTATCTTATATGGGAGAAGGCATGACGACAAAATTAGGACATTGAAAAAGCTCTCAGCCTGTCTCTCTTTGAATAAATGATATCCGTCTGAAAAATTTATTCCTTAGTAGAAAGATATTATTCTCAATAATGCCTAAAGGATAATTATTTTCTAGGAATATATATTTGTCAGCCGTTGCAACTCTTTAGTCAAATTTTTGCTATCCGCTAGCCTCATACTTCTAATTATTATATATTTCCTTACACCTACTTTAACTTCACAAATGTGCTTTAAAAATAAATTTAGAAAGAAGTCCCGATTTGTGGCTTTCTTATACGCAATCCCAACAGGTAATCCGCTATACTCTTTTATATCTATGCTGAATTTATCATCCCCATCTATTATCTTTACTTAATTTGGGAAATTATCTAGGCTCTTTTTGTTGTGGTGTCATCCATATACCTAATCAATAAATGATGACCTAAAAATGATTCATGAATTAGGCAACCCTTCAGTTTTTCTCTCTAATTGTTTGCTGAAATTGGTGACAAACACGGTAATCATAGCTAAACCTCACGTTTATTTGTATTGAAAGTGAAATGTGTACAGCTCTTCGATAAATTTTTAAGTATTGTTATTGACACATCACCCATATTTTTACTGATTAAAATCATCGGGTTTTAATTTAGCGTTAATTCTAGAGCTTGTCTAGTTCCGCTTGCCCCCAATTTACATGCACTTCCTCACTTCATATTCTCTGCTCATCTACTAAACAAACGAGTTCAAAATAATTTCTTATTCAAACTGCCAGTTCTCTAGAATTTCTTTTAATTAATGATAGATAACTCGTGCTGTTTGCTACATCACGCTATTCAAATAATTCGTAATATTTCTAAATAGAACGCCTTAGTTATCTATTTTGGGCAGAGTATGCATGGATTTTTGCATGCCTGGCAGCTCGATGAAAAAAACGCTCATTATTAACTTTTAAACAAATAGTGATGAGGGTAGACAAAGATGGAGCAATTTTATCATGAATATGGTTAGTTAAAAGGAAATATTTCTATAGAAATAAGAATACAATGAAAAATGCGAAGTCATAGCAAAGGTCCCTACAGAAACCCTGAAGTTTAGACCCGAGTGCTTCCTGCATCATTGTATAAACAGGGGAAATTCGAGAACTGGATAGTGGGCACATTTCTTTATTGTGATTTTCAGGTCTCCTATTGCATAAGTTCTTACTTCTATTTCGAGTAAAAGTTTTGGGTGAAGAGATTGGAAGGTCGGTTTCACCAGAAGACGACAGCAAATTCCTCTTGACCAGCTGTCGATTGGCTTTACTGGAAGATTCATACTGACGCTGTTTCCGAGGCAATCTCCTTCGATTCCGGTGAAAAGGTGCTAAGCTTTCGTCCGTCATAACGACGAACATCATCAGAGCAAGGTATCATCGCCACAACAAAAGTCAAGCTAACGAGTCAAGAAAACCACTATCTCCTCCTGTCTACATACATGTTTTCCTTACTCGTTTGCTTCAATTTGGTTGTGACGCTGATACCCTGCTCTGATGATGTTCGTCATACGACGGACGAAAGCTTAGCACCTTTTGACCGGAATCGAAGGAGATGACCTCGGAAACATCGTCAGCATGAATCTTTCAGTAAAGCCTTCGAATCTCTTCACCCAACACTTTCACTCGGAATGGAAGTAAGCTCAATAATTATGAGACAAGAGATTTCTCGAAAACCAACTTTTATTCGCATATATTGCATCAAGTCTGTCTTAAAATGCGTAAATAAAAAGTCTCACTTAGAATTCACAGCTTTCTTTAAGGTTAATTTAAGAATCCTATCCACTCTACTGTTCAAACGCAATAAATGGTATGCCAGCATTTTTCTTTTAAAGGACTCTGTAAAACTCGGCTTTTCTGTATACTCGATAATGAGCACTTTTTGCAGCCTTTCGTCTACAACCCCACAATAAATGAAAGCAATTATAATTCTCGAAGAATTTCTTAATGAGCTTTGGTTACTCGACATTTTATTCTGAGGTAGACGTTTTTGGAGTTCATTCGCGAAGCCTAAGGAGGATTGCCACGACGTAAAGACTGCTGAGTTGTGCAAAGAAGTCTTCGGCTTACCGTCTTGCGAACCTAATGAACCTATCGTCTGTACTCTGATAGATATCATCAGAGCATGGATACATACTTTACGAAATAGCACACCAATATACTATTACTATATTACCACTATATAATTATATATACTATCCTATATTTGTACTATATTATACTATCGTTTTATACTATTATTATGCTGATGGACTATTTTGTAAAGTATGGCTGATAATGATGAGGTCTATCGCACGGGTTGATCGGAATCACAGGATGGTGAGCCGATAACCTCTTCGCATAACCCAACAATATTCATTCTTTGTCAATCTTGCTTCTGCTTCCGGTGAGATAAATGCACAATGTTCTTCCAACTATCTTTTCCCTTGAAATAAAAAATCGGGTAATAAAAATCCCATTATAGCACAATGATAAAGTTTTTAAGTCAGTTCCTTCCTATGATCCAGTAGGGTAGTACCACAAAAACCGGTTTCGAAGTCTGGCTTGCTGATTAGACTCAAACGAGGTCAAAATTGTAGTACACCCCGAATGAGAAAACCTTATGAGGAAAAGTAAAACGAAGTTAATATGATATCGTGAGTCCTTCTCTGTTAATTTTGGAAATCTTCACTACCACATAACCAAGGTAGGCTAAAATTCTTTTTATAGAATTTACTAACATCACCACACATTAATAAGTTTATCGGAAAACATTATTTAATAGTTAGTAACTGCAAGCATGGTCTGAGTTATCATCGCTTGATGATGCATTGGCTTCTGTCCGAATGCACAAAATGCATTGTAATTGATGTTACCCTCAAGGGATAGAAGGGAAGAATTTGGTTATTAATGAATTAAAATGTGTCAAATATCCCAAAAAGACTACCGCACCAAGAGTGGAGTGATAAGTACGAGGCTAGACCGTTTCCTTCCACTTCTTTTTTGTAATTTAAGATAGATTTAAGTGCTCCAAATTGTCACACCTTAATAATCAGACCGGAACATGTTTCCTTTTTTTCCCAAGGAGGAGGACATATGGACAGATCTGCTGCGCAGTTTGGTGAATTTTCGAAACGTGTCTATCTCTGCTCAAGTAAAAGAGTAGCGTTTCGAGACTTCCAATAAATCAGATATATGAGTTGTGATTACCCTATTCTTATTAAGGTGATGAGGGAGTGGTAGTTGATTTTTCCCACAATGATATAAGTAGAGCTGATGTTTTTCATCAAATTTCGCATAGCCTTGCTTTCCTAAAAGAAGCTATCATCCAGGGTAGACTGCAGGATGGACCTTGCATAGGAAATGTCAGGTATACTCATATCAATGTGGGAAAAATCAACAAACTCAAATGGAATAGGGTGAACACAACGCATATATCTGATTTACTGATAGTCTCGAAAACTTACTCACTTAAGAAAAAAGTAATGTCTTCGATTGCCATAGCAAAGTTAAGTTTGATTCATCGACAATCCAAACACGGAATGTGATGTGGTAAATGCCTGAAATTCCTTGAAATTCACATCTGCCCTCTGACTCGAGGGCACTCGTGGCAGTGTGGCGTAGTGGCTAACGTGTCGAGCTTACACACTACACTGTCATGAGTCGACTCCCGCTTGGGTTGTTGATAAGACCCATGCGAGTTGGAATCTGCAGTCCACCCTGGATGAGAATACCTTTTGGGAAAACAAGATTATGTGAAATTCGATGGAAAACATCAGCTCTACTCATATCATTGTGGGAAAAATCAACTACCAGTCCTTCATCACCTTAAGCGAAATAGGGTGAATACAACTCATATATCCGGTCAAGTAGTATTAGAAAAGGAACCGGCTCATACTAAATGTGACTGTTTGTGATGTGGAAAAACCTTTACTTGAACGTAATAGGGCAACGGGATGTCCACTGGATCCTTGGAGAAGTCTGGCATTCGCTGCACCCTCAAACTTTTTGTCTCTCGCTCCACTCCTCTGCCGTACGCCTCTATGCCGCAAATGATGGCCGACTGCTTCGATCGTCCGGCGTTGGTTCGTCCGCCTGACCCCACTCGTGAGGCCCGTACTAACAGGAATTGTCCGACCACTAGTTGGTTCAACGCTCTTTCAATCTTACCGTCTTCAGTCAACTGAGCCGCAAAAGTTCCCATTTGGTCGTCTGAGAAGCAGGTGAAATTGACCATTCGGGTTATGCGATTGAGGCGTACGCCGAGACGACACACTCGAAAATCCTCGATGTCCCTATTAGCGTCACACTCACGAAGACGGTCGCCGATCAAGACGTCAACAGGCCTCTCATAGCCTGCCCGACCTGTGGAAGTTGTAGAAAAATGCAGGCTGAACTTCAGTACTAAGGACTAAGGTAAAGAATTTAAGTAATGTCTATGGCAATATCATTAGTAGTAGTGTCATCATACACATTAGAGTAGATTAATTTAAAATATCCTAAAGCCTGATGGGCGTCCTGTCTGTGCGTTTCGATGTATGCTCAAAGAAAGTGGGTTTCGAGACTAACTCTTAAGTATGAGATATATTAAACCTAGTTCATTTAAGGTGATGAAGGACCGGTAGTTGAATTTTCACATTATCATTTTAGTAATCAGGCAATTTCGACCTTGCCTGGGTCTTGTCAGCTGCCTAACGGCGATATGGGCATATTTGTAGTCTGTCTTCGGAAATGAGCACAATACTTTTATTAATAGCAAGTAGGTTGTGAGACCACCAATAAAGATTTTAAGGACTAAATACACTTTTTCTTTATCAACAATTCCAAAATAAGAGTGTGATATGCAAGAAGCATGGCCTTCGTTGAAATTCATATATGCCCTGTGATCCACGAGTACGCATGTTAATGTGACGTATAGGCAACATATCGAAATGGTGCGCTGCTCTGATCGGG